TGTGTAGTTCTTCAACAGGAATTTGACTCATAAACATGATAGGTTTAACAGAAGCTTATATCACTACTGAACGACCTCAGGACTCTTTTGACCAGGGAAATAAAGAACAGATGTTAAAACAGCATCGAGTGTTTCTGCCATTTGAATACTGTGTCATTACTACAGCCAGAGCCCTATACAATGATGAAGGCCTGTTCTAGTGTTCCCATGTGATCAAGATAGATTCATTGAGAGCAAGTATGTGCAAAATAGATGATGAATCATAGAGAGAAGGTGTAGCAGACCTAAAGAAACATCTCATTTATAAGCAGCGTGCAAATGGTATAATAATTCAGCTAGGTTTACAGTTCATGAAAGGTTACATTCCTTGGTGTGAAACACACTTTCAGTGTTGTCTATGGGATAGTTGGCAATAGCCATGGTGCAAATGTAATAATTTAGGGATTGAACAGTGAATATTGTGTGATTAATAATTAATAATAATAATACTGTGTTAACCTGTGTCACTCACACTTATCATAATTTATCACAAGCTTCCAAAACGTGTTTCAAAACCTGGCTTCCGTCTCTATTACAGTGAAAGAAAGGTAACCTAAAAACAGTAACATCTAAAATCACTGGTTTTAGTCAAGTCAAAACTATTATTTAACATCACTTAATCAACCTCTATACATCAGTTTATACCATCAAAACTCATTTTGATCGGTCGAATCAGGTAGAAATAGCTCTTTAAGGTAACAATTGCAGATTACCACTTTTTAAAGTGTATTTTAAATGTCTTTTAAAGATTATCATCTTGACAACTTTAATGTCTTAAAAATCTAAAAATCTGTTTATAAAATCAATAAGCTCAACAGGACAAACATTCATGTTACATTGTGTGTCCCACTTTATATTAGGTGCCTTTTACTACTATATACTTATCTCAAAAGTTTGGTGGTACGGTTAGGTTTAAGAGTTGGTTAAAGTGTAGAGGGAGGGTCAACAGTGTTTATTATAGATAACTACAGAAATCAATTACAGATGTAATTACATGCAGGTCATTTTAAAATATTAGTACAATGTAAAAACATACAAAATAAATACATTGTATATATTGTTTAATTGAAATGTAAGTACATAGAAGATTCTTCCCATTTTTGTGACAGAATCCAGTTCTGAACCATAAATGAACCCTGTGTCAACCAGCGACAAAATGCCAAGGGTCTTCTTCAAGCTGGCTTCAAACTCTTACAGTTATTGTTTCTTTACCTCTTTCCTCATTGTCTCTTCCATTTGCCATTACCACTTTCTCTTTTTCACTTGCTCAGTCTGTTTGGCCGGCTCTAATCTTGTTAGGCAGAGAACAGCTTTTTTAGTGATTAGGGTTGGTCATCCGGTGAGTTTTATTGGCTGGCAAATGGTGCATATCGTATACATTTATCAGGAACAATTGGTCTGGCTAAGAGGGATGCTCGCCTCACCTGACAGCAGAGATAACAGAGATAACAGAGAGAGAGAGCGAGAGAGAGAGAGAGAGAGAGAGATTGCTCTGGTTGACAAATTACAGATGGCATCAAAGGAAATTATTGATTTGTCAATTCAGCAGGCTCTAATTGAAAACTATCACCTTGATTTTCAGTATTACATGTTAATTATAGAATTAGTGTGCATCTTTTACCAATCATTGTGTCTGGTCACAATCATTAACGCATTGTGGGATTTAATTGCTCAGATGAAGATACCACTACAGCCAATAGATAACCCATATAGTTTTCACTTAATCAAATGTTTCCATTGTTACTGTTAGAACAGACTGACCGGCATCACCTTTCTGGACAGGCGTGCGTGTGTGCGTGTGTGTGTGTGTGTGTGTGTGTGTGCATGTTTATGTGGTTTATGAGGACACAAATTTGTATAATAACATGGGTATGACATAGGTATTACAACGAGAAGGTGATTTATGAGGACATTTTCACTGTCCCCGTAATTCAAAAGGCTTATAAATAATTCAGAATTAGTTTTTTTGAAAATCTAAAAATGCAGAAAGTTTCCTGTGAGGGGTAGGTTTAGGGGTAGGGTTGGTGTAGGGCAATAGAAAATACGGTTTGTACAGTATAAAAACCATTACGCCTATGGAGAGTCCCCATAAATCATAAAAACAAACCTGTGTGTGTGTGTGTGTGAATTGAAGCTCTCAGAGTAATTGCTTTCATCACACTAGAGTCAGATGTGGCCAGGTTAAGCCATGAAGCTGTGATCCAGAACTGATCCATAATGAAAATGTGTTTTCATCATGTTCCGACAAGGATAAAACATCAGCTAACATCTTTATGTTGCATATATTTGTTGGCCTTTGGCTTTCTTGGATTATAGTGTTAGCAAACTATGTATCAGTCATTTTGGGGTATTTTTACATAACCTCTTCATTTTACATAACCACTCTTATAAATAAAGGTTAAAAAAGTTTTTTTATTTACAGTGATTCCAAGGTTCTCCAAAGAACCTTTCAGTGATCACGTCTTAAAAGAACCATTTTTTTCTTAATGAATAGCATTTTAATCATCTAAGGAACTTTTTTTCCATTATAAAGAACATTTTGCGGAATGAACAGATTCCGTGGATGTTAAAGGTTCTTCATGGTACCATGAATGCCAATAAAGAACCATTATTTTTAAGAGTGAGAAATAATAATAATTAAGAAGGAATGCGAACAAAAGGACTGTCATGTTTGATTATATGTTCATGTTATACAATCGAAATGAATGAATAATCTCCCATAATAAAATACAGATGATTCTGCTGGAGAAATTATATGATTTGCTGGGTAGTGAAATGAAATGCTGCAACAATTCTAGTCATGACTTCCAGAATTTGTCAGTGATCATCTAAAAATATTTGTCATTAATTAACAAATGAACAATAATAAGATGGGTGTGTATTTTAAATGAGACATTTCTTTTTATTTATAGCTCTTTGTTTACTTTGGAAACCTCTCAACATCAAATGAATTACACAATACTTTGACAAACACTAATATACACTAATAATACACGGACCCATCACTCTGTTTAACAGAAGATCATTCGTTGACAGTTGTGCTACTTTTCCATATCCCAACTACTACACACACACACACAAAACGTACACACTGAAGAGATTTCCAATGCCTATGTTCAGTGATGTGCAGGTGAGAGCAGTTGTGCATTGCAGAGTTTCTGCACAGCCCTTCCAGGACACTGCGGCTCAATGAAATCTCAGAGGAGTGGCACGAGTGTGTGTGTGTGTGTGTGTGTGTGTGTGTGTGTGTGTGTGTGTGCGGCAAGAAAACAAAAGATCAGGCCCATCACTTTTATCACCACCTTTGTAAAGAAGTGGATTTAATTCACAGTATATCATCCATCTTCATTTCATTCAGTTTACACATGTATCATCCTCAAAACCACAAGGACTGGAGGCTCAGAAAGGAACAGTCCGGCGTTTTCTGCGTTCACTTCATGCAAGGCCCTTTTTATCAATATGCAAATTGATCAGGATAAAATTACAATGTATATGAGGTACTGCGACATTACACGCTCATACCCTCGTTTGCGCTCAGATGAGAATCGCCTCCTAAAAACAGTTAAAACGGATCTCTTGATTTGTGTACCTGCAGTAATGGCATCCCATGCTAACGTGTTTGGTCATCTCAGGCCTGCAAACAAGACATTTTTTGTTGGTTTTAACTGCAGTGGAGACATCTCAGCGTGCACAATGCATCTCAAGAGTCTCTCCGTCTGTGGGTTTGCAGCACACGTGAATGCCTAACCTCTCACATGATGTATGACACATCAGAGCATGCAGAATTACATTCATACATAACCCAATCATTTTGTCATTTAGGAGGAGCTGTAAAAACACCAGGTCGGCTCTTGCAGAAAATGCACGGGAGAGAATGAGAGACGGTGAGGGAGGGGAGACTGCAGTACATATAAGGCAAGAGAGATACAAGTTCATGTTTTATTAAAGCTTTGCTCTGTCAGGTCCAGTACAGTCCATCGGCTCTGGTCTTTCGTTTCTCGGTAAGGACCACAAAGGTGTAAAAATCTCAGGAGTCCTGGAATGCTTATCCAAGGAGAGAGGAATTACCGAGAGAAAAGGGAAGATTTTTCCCGTCCCCACCGCCCGCCCCTTCTCATGACACCAAATGTCCGTCCTCCCCAGGGTCATCCCATCAGGTTTGATCCGAGACAGTCTGTCACAAACTGTTCTTTATCCTCTGTGACCTTCAAAACATGTCAGTTCTTAATCTATACAGGGGGTGGGGTGACATATCAATACTCAAGCAAATGCCGCATAGATTTCATCCCCTGAAATCGTCCAGATTATCTTGAATATAAGTTCTTAAACATGCAATACTTTCCCTTCAAGCTCAGAAATGCAGAGAACGTCTTCTCTCTGTGCACGCATTTGCTTGTCATAAATATATGGTGGCATAACCATAAAGAACCATTCAAAGAGGAGAAACAAAATGACATCTTAAACGTTAAACGTTAAACAATAATGCACCGGAATTTGCTTCTGAACAAGGCCTTAAACCAGTTTATAATGAAAGCACACGCCTGTTTAAACACACTTGCATTGTCATCAAGAGAGGAAGAGATACAGCAGGCGTGGGCTTTAATAGTACATGAATCCTAAAACAAACTATTCAGCTTACAAATATTGCTGGAACTGCTGGGTGAAAAACCAGCACCAGAGCACAAAACATTGCTGAACCATTGTTCTGTCATTTGTTAGCAAGAAAGGACGGCTGTCCTGTGTAGAAAAAGACCAGCACTTTATTTCCATCTGGCCATTTTTCATATTGAAAGCGTAATGCATTATGTCATTTTCAGTTCATTTACAACGAATAGAGCTAAAAGCAAGTGTGGACGCATTAAGCATAATTCAAGCTATAAATCTGCTTTATGGATATGGTTATATTCTTCAGAATAGATTTTATATGTATATATGCATATATTTATATACAAGTACTCATGTCACAGCAGTTGTGGAGCCGCTTGTAGTTTACTGTAATGAATCATATAGCATGCATTGTGTGCAACAGGACAGTGTCATGTCAAGTGTCACCGCAGCTTACAGAGAGGCATTACGCATTCAGGTATCAGCATTTGCTCTTTGTGTACGTCTCAGAGTACAAACGTTGCATAAAAAGTTGCATTATACAGTAGTGAACTGCTTTACAAACGTGTTTGTCGTCCACAGTTGCCAATGGAGTCTTTAAAACAGTAACAAAAAAAGTCCTACCCCGTGTTCTTGCAATTCATGAACCTTACGTGGCGACGGGACTCATCCGCGGTCTCGAACTCGGCGGCGCGCGGGCTTCGGGTCCTCGTTACGCACCCGTTACACGTAGGCGGAGTCACTGGACTGAGTGCGGCCGAAATTGGGCATACTCATCCTGGGCAAATCCTTGTTCCGGATCTCGTAGATGGACTTCCTGCGGGCCCGCACGCCCCTCACGGCCGTTTTGATCTTCCTCCAGCCCAAGTGATTGAGCTCGGCCAGATTGAGGACCACGCAAAAGCCGCTGACCGCGGACACGTAACACTCCACCTCTTTGATGCACGGGTATCGATCACACTCGTACACGGCGGGCACGTTGAATCCGTACAAGAAATACTGGCCCACCAGAAAGCCAATTTCCAACGCGTTTCTGAACACCACCTGGATGATGTAAAACCTGGAAATGCCCTCCTGCCGCCTCATTTTGGACTTGCCCGGTTTTGTGCCCGAGCTGGTCAGTTCTTTGGTCTCTAGGCAGTCGGGCTCGGCTTCTTTGGTGGTGTTCTCCGTGTTCTGCAGTACTCCGTTCATGATGGTGTTCTTGATCTTTTGGTTCTTGGCCTCCTCTCGTTTCAGAGAATCCTGCTCCTTATTATCCAGAGAGAGGAGGACGGTGGCGGTGGAGTAACGTCGCTCCTTTTGCTTGGCCGACTGATGGACCGAGTACGTGATGAAGCAGAGACTCGGCGTGCAGACCATTATGATCTGGAACACCCAATATCTGATGTGAGATATGGGGAAAGCTTTGTCGTAGCACGCCTGGATGCAGCCCGGCTGTAAGGCGTTACAGACAAACATGGTCTGCTCGTCGTCATACACTGTCTCTCCCACTATAGCTACGATTAGGATCCGGAAGATCACCACCACAGTGAGCAGGATCCTAAAAAAAGCACACCGAAAAATAAATGTGTCAATATACGAGCTTGAGCTGCAGGGAGCTGTCCGGTGCTGAAACCGGGCTGCGCTTCATTTCGCTATCACTGAATGCTGCATATGGATTATGCAGATAGCACTGGGTATGCCACGCTTGATACTGTATTTTTGCGATTTTGTGCACAGTGTTTCACAAACCATCACACCTCCCAACATGACGTTAAATAAAATACAAAACAAACACAAATATATCGGGAAAATTCACTAATAAGGGTAGGATGATGCCTAGTGCTGAAAATGTGGTGCATTCTCAACCACTGAATGCTATTATTTTAGTTTCACTTAAAACATGCTCCTTTATATTTTATATACACACATACTACGTAACATGTTTTGGCATATGTTTTCTATTGTGTATAAATTAATGTTTTTTTTGTTTTGTTTTTTGCGCACAGTTGGCAAAAAGCATCACTTTGCCTCAAAAGGTGGCTTTACATAAAGCAATAAAAATAAACTAATACAAATAAATGTGTGAGAGGCAGGTTTACTAATGAGTGGGTTGTTAAGGGAGCTAAATAAATACAGATGCGTTCGCAACCAATGAACGATGCATTTCAGTCACATTTCACTGTCGTTCAATATTGTGATATTTTACAAATGTGTTGTGTACATGTTTTATATGTGTGTGTGTGTGTTTGTGTGTGTGTATGTGTTTCATTTTATTTTCTATGTTATTTGAATGGGTGAAACAGGCGGTAACCTTTTTTGTGCACACCTGGCAAGAAGCATCACTCTGCGTTCAAACGTGGCTTTAAATGAAGCAAAAATATTAAAATACATAATATGCTGAAACCAGTCGCGTTCACAGCGATTGCATTCAGTTGCATTATATTTTTCATGTATACTACGCAAATATTTTTTGGTATGTCATGTTTGTTTGTCATCCACATTTTATACTGTATTTTAAAGGGTGAAATGGGCGACTACGCCCGTTGGCAATGATAAAAAAAAAACGTTTTTTTTTTTTGCTCCAAAGCTTGAAATGAGCTGAATTTCGGTGTCAGATGCACTGACATTAGCTCTTACCTTCCGATCATAGTGGAGTGCTGCTGGACAGCAGCTTCCAAGAGCCTCTCTAGTATGGTCCATTCCCCCATCGCTGCTCATCCGCAGACTCTGCTCCAAATCCAGGGAAAAGCGTGAATATTTCCTCTTACTGTCCGCCGTTATGAGCTGCGCCAGCTGTGGCAGTGCTGATGCTGGAAGATGCCACACTTCTCCTCGTCTTCGAGTCTGGAGTGGAGTCATGTGAGCCCTCCTATCTTCGATCTCCACATCAGATTGATGGTGTGGGTGGAGGGCGGCGGGCGGCGGGCTTATGGCATCAGTGCCGTGGAGAGCCCTGCTGCGTCATATGGCGCTTTACGTCGAACTGCCAAAACGCGCGGAATTCATTTGTGTGATGTTCATACGCTGGGAATAAAGCCGGATTCGGTCCGGTGATGGTGAACTCATGTCATGGTGAGGAGAGCAGAGGTGACCTCCTCCTTTTTTTTTATTTGGGGGACTTGAGTCTCATACTTGTTGCTGTGTATTTTGAAAGGCGACACAGCTGTTGGAGAGCAAATGTCCTTGAGTACAGAGAGGACCTTCAGCTCCGCCCTGTTCACACGAAGCAGCAGCGCTCGTGCTCTGGATACAGTGGGGTGAAAGCGTCAGCTGATTCTCTGTTTAAGTAAAGACACCTTTGGCCCCGCCCATCGAACGCCCGTAGACATGCGCAGTTCCGCCAAACCATCTTTTTTTTGCAGTTTGACAGTTTTAAGGGAGTACAGTGGCCCCAAAACGTATTTGCTCACTTTGACAACCACACAGTGTCACAATAATTCATGCCACAATATTTTATGACTTTGCAAGTGTGCTTGAGATATTTAAAATAAATGCCACTTGCATGCACATAGGACACTTTTCTTTTAAGACAATATGCTAATTTGATTAACAGGGGTTAGTTAAGGGCATTTGGCTAATCTAAAATATTTGAATACACAATTTATATTGTAATCTTGGTGATTGCAACTGCTAAAAAGGTTTAATCAGAGATTATTGAGATGACAATATTTTGAATGACCTTTCATCAAAATGTAATTCTGCGGTTTCATTCATTGAGTGATTTTAGTAGGAAAGATGGAGACACCATGTTACACTGACCTTGTTTCAAGTGAAGTCTGCAAGTACAAGTGACACACCAAATGGCACAGCAAAAATAATGACTGTTTTCACTCTCCCACCAGCCACACAAACGGATAGTCCCGCCCAAAACGCACACTATTGTCATGCTGATGGCTGAACAACAATGATGTCATTGTTAGTGCCAATAATGCAGAAAGTGTGCAAAAAGAAAAAAATGAATATTTGTACAAAGCTGACAAAATCAGACCAGCAGAAGAAGACTGTAGATTACATTCTTCCCTACTAAAATAAAAATGGCAAGTTTCAACACCAGCCCCATTCTGATATCAGGAAAAGGGAGAGAGAACAGCCTGCTCACATCATGAATCTACCTGGAATATTCAATGAAACAACTGACTGTGCACAGAAAATGGTGATGAACTGGATCAATATGTTACAAGCTAAGAAAAATAGTATTCCCTCAATTCTGAGTGATTTGCTTGGTTCATATGTCATTGAAGTCAGTAAATCACATATTAAAAAACATCTGAAATGCTTACTTGTCTTTTTTAAACATTCACTGCTAAATAATACAGATGCAATAACAAACTTAAGAATATTTTTTAAGAAAATGGGCATGAATCCATATACACACAGTCAGGAGGGTTGTTCTGTATGTGTGAGGGTTAAATGAGAAAAGCAGTGTGGGGTTCATCACATATGGCAGAAGCACAGCGAGGCATTCAGGCCTTTTTCCATCCTTGATCTCACACACAAATTAAATATTTAGAGGCCCAGTCCAACCACTGCGGCTGTCAAATGTGCTTCCTCCACCACATGCTGCGAGGCAGCCCTGTGTGTACGGCCTGTGCTGCCAGCACAAACTTGAAATTAAAACCAGGCAATTTTGGCTGGTGAAGGTTCCCCTCAGGACTGTTGGGAGGAAAAGAGACAGAGAGAGAGAGAGAGAGAGAGAGAGAGAGAGAGAGAG